TTCATGAAGATCCAGGAACCTCAGGAAAGCTAGGTCTAGAAATTTTCAGGGAAGCTCAGAGATTGGTAATGGTGGTTTAATAATTTTAGGAATGTCCAGACTTTTGGAAAAGTGTAAAGATCTGTAAAGCTTAGTTCTGATACATTCAGGACAGCTCCATAATCTATATGAAATGTTTGAGAAACTTTAAAAAGAATTGTCATAAAAGTCCAAGTGTGGGGGGATTTACAGAAATTCAGAGATTTTCAGAGCAGTTCATAGATTTTTGGGACAGTTTCATTTACTAGCAATACCAAGAACTTGAGGAGAGTTGTACCAAGAACTTGAGGAGAGTTGCGAGAACTTGGGGGAAGCTTCGAAAAAAAAAACATACGGAAGAGCGGGGATCCTCAGGACAGTTCAATTAAAATCATGAAATTTACAGGAACTTTAAACAAGTTCTGTAAAACTCAGGTAATTTATGAAAACTTCAACAAAGTTCCGAGATCCTTAGAGAGGTCCAGAGAACTTCAGAGAAGTGGATGCTACCACTGAGGAGTTTTATCAATGGAAGTTTTTCGGCATTGCAGTCATACATCAATCAAACGATTAGATATTGCCGTTCATCGATTCAGTGCAGGGCTGTCATCTGATCAATCAATGCGCTCAATGTACTTTTTTTTTCCTTGATTTGTTTTCCGTCGATCATGTTTTCCGTGCTATGCTATGCTACCGATCCCAGGGAGAAAGCTCACACACCTGGACCCTACATATCGACTCATCAACTCATGAACCGGGGACCAACGGCTCTACTTCCCTTCCGAAAGGATACGAGACGAACCAGCCCACGGCTGAAAGTTACATTAATAAAGATAACTAAACTAACCCTTGCGAAGGAAGGATGGTTCAGAGATGTTATGCCTCAGAACAAGCCTGGCGGCGCTTGCGCAATGTACTAATTTTATGAAATAGGGTAATTGATTCTGGTTGGACCTATCCAAAAACTGATGATGGTTGGACCTATTTTTTCAATCGCTAGTTTAGTCAATCTTCGCTAATTTTTTATTTTCAAAGATCACTTTACTATCATAAAAAACTCTTTTTCTTCAATTTGCATGGGTGTTTTATTGAAAAAACTTTAAAACAATTGAGTTTCAATGTGTTTTCGAAACAGTTCACTTTCCACACATTAGCTCGTCAGCATGCCTTACTGTCAAACATACAAAAAAGGAATATTTTTTACATTTATTTTTATTTTCATGCAGTAAAATACTGCTTTAAGGTGTAAACAACACGTTAGTACGCCATTTATCCATTGGTTTCACTAAAATGTTTGAATAATTGACGAAATTCGAATAGATAAATATGATCATGGTTGGACCTACGCATGATGATGGTTGGACCTATGTGTTTCCTAAGACGGCCGCTAGGTGCGCTTCGGTTTGTCTACATCGTTCATGCGCAGCTGATTTGAAATTCGATTTCGTTTTGGCCGAGTGATCAGTTTCTTCGATTGAAAAAATGCTAAAGAAAAGAGTTATACGGTCGAAAACCTTCAAGAGGCTGTTCTTTTAGTAAGAAATAAATCACTTACCGCGTATCAGGCACAAAAAAGGTACAATATTCCGAAAACGACACTTCACGCAAAAATTAAGGGAAGCCACGGCAAGAAATATGGAAGGGAAATAGTGTTGAGTGTTGATTTGGAGAACCAGCTAGCGGATTGGGTTTGTATGTGCGCTGCTTCTGGCAGTCCCAAGACGACCAAAAAGATCTTAGAAGCTGCTAAAGACCTTGCGTCACTAGTTGGGCATACATTTAAAGGAGGAATTTCATCGTCAGGTTGGCTGAAATGGTAACCACCGATTTCCGAACTACCACGAAAGCGCCGAAAGAATATGTTAATATGAATTTACATTAAGCACTTCTCATACACCTTCTGTGTGTGAATTAACTTGAAATAAAATATAGTTGAAGATGCTAATTTCAAATAACAGACTGTAGTGGTAATTTTTATACGATAGATGGAGTAGATGAAAGCATAGAGTTGATAGTTCCGTTAGAGTACGGCAGTGTGAAGATTGTATATAGATATTAGAATAGCGAACTAGGACAACTTTTAAGGAAGGTACAAATCGGTTTTTTCATCTCTCTTTACCAAACTCCCCCTTTGGAGAGGGATGGTGAGGGGTGTCCCCCCCCCCCCCGCCACCACTGGCAAAAAGAGATGAAAACCGACCCGTTCAAGTACCAACTGTGTGTTTGAAACAGTTCTACCGATTTTTACCGCACTTCAATTGTTATTTGTTTTCATCTCTTTTTGCCAGTTGTGGCGGGGGGGGGGGACACCCCTCACCATCCCTCTCCAAAGGGGGAGTTTGGTAAAGAGAGATGAAAAAACCGATTTGTACCTTCCTTAAAAGTTGTCCTAGTTCGCTATTCTAATATCTATATACAATCTTCACACTGCCGTACTCTAACGGAACTATCAACTCTATGCTTTCATCTACTCCATCTATCGTATAAAAATTACCACTACAGTCTGTTATTTGAAATTAGCATCTTCAACTATGTAAATCGTTGACTTCACGTAGAAGTAATACTAAAAACATATAGTCAAAGTTGAAATAAAATGTTAACAAACAAAAAGTTGCTAACTGAAACTTATTTCCGAAAAAAAACTCCTTGGAGAAAAAAACTATAAAACCGGAATTCCATGTCAAAATTAGGTCCATGTTCCATATACCCTGGAACTTGTTCCGGCCATATCTCCGGAACCAGTTGACCGATTCCTAAAATATTCGATAGCATTCAATGGGACCACAATACCTATAGTTTGACGTTAAAATTTTTCCAAATCGTGTAAATGATTTCCGAGAAAATGAGCCATGATGAATAGCTAATGCGTGGAAAGTGAACTTTTTTAAAAACGAAGTTAAACTCAAATTTCTTGATTTTTTTAAAATAGCAAATTCATAAAAACTGTATAAAAGGGTTTTTTCATGATACCAATAAGCTTTAAACAAAGTTTTTGAACAAATATGGGCTAAACTAGCATTTGCAAAAATAGGTCCAACCATCATAATTTTTTATGTCCAACCAAGATCAGTATAGGTCCAACCAACATCATAATTCTTTGCTGAATAAAAACGTTTTATAAAATCATTTGTTCATAATATTTAACTTTTTATGTTATTATTAGAAACAAGAAAGGTAAATCTTTCCCCTAATCACGCATTTTTCATAATTATATGTTGAATTCATAAAAAAATACGACATGAATGTTGACGTCGTGTGAAACCGGCCTAAATAGGTCCAACCATCATCATTTACCCTAAACAAAGTGAGAATCAAACAAACACAAAATTGGCTTGTCTTTTACCCTGCGTATGCCGACGCCGGTGGTGTAGTAGTAAGCGTGACTGCTTTCTTACCCCAATAGGTCTGGGTTCAATCCCAGCCGAGGTCGGTGGGATTTTTCTGAGGCATAAAAATCTCTGGTCACGTCTTCCTTCGGAAGGGAAGTAAAGCCGTTGGTCTCGGCCCATGTGTGTTTCAATGGGTGCGATATCCTACGCAGGTGTGAAAGCTGCCTTCCTGCACATTCGATTGCCGTCAATGGATGGCAATCGATGTACGTCGGTGATTGGCACTAGATTGCGGAACAGAGACCGACGTTAAATAAAGGAAAGAAGAAGAAGAAGAAGAAGACCCTGCGTAAGTGTAAAGCAGTGGACGAGAGAAGACAGACACACACCCAGAAATAACGAAAGCTCAATGTGCAGCCATCGCTCCTACGGCTCCGACGCAAAGAGCGCTTTCAGTGTAGGGTTGCAAATGGGAAACCTAGTTAAAGGGCAATATTGTTCTTCGTTATGCACTTCTTCATCTCTTGCATGCAGTCGTGGTAAGCAAAGTCTGCAAAGAACTCAAAGAAGACATAAGCGCTTCTTGTATTATATTGTGTGGATCGCTTTCTCAAAGATTAGTTGGAAAAGAGTGTGAGAAGAAAATGGGAGAACCACACACTCTTTGTCGAGTGTTCTGAGATGCATGCACAAAGTTGCTTTGCAAACGCTCTGAGGCGCTTTCCAGCTCTGGTTCAGTGTTATCAACTCCCATTGACTTCAAAGGTGTTTAGAGATTTGTAAGCAGTTTCATTATGTTCAGGAATATTCCGAGGACTTACAGGAAGCAGCAGTTCAATTAATTGCTGTAACTTTCAAGAACTTTCGCAGAATTGTGGAAAACTCCGCGAATTTCAGATATGTTTAAACAAATTCAGTACATTAATGGGGCCTTCAGAGAAGTCCCATGAATATTAGGAAAATTTATGAAATTTTAAAGAAGTTCCGAGAACTTTTTGGAAAATTAGGGAACTTTATGAAGGAACGGACACTACAGATATGCCTGGAAATATTCAGGGAAGTTTAAAGATATTAAGGGAACCTCCATGAGTTTCAAGGAAATTCCGAAAGCTTCAGGAAGATAACGTAAACTTTTAAAAAGCTCTTATGAAATTCAGGGAATTTTAGAGAACTTTACTGAAGTTCAGAGATCTTTAAGGTGGTTTAAATAACTTCAAGGAAGTACCGAAAACTTCAGAAAAGGCTGGACTTTCAGGGAAGTTTGCAGATCGTGACGAATTAGTATTTTTTTAATCGAATTTTATGGTGATCTTACAGCAGACGCTTTTTACGCGTACCGTAGTTTTAATTAGAGCGATCTAAATTGTGTCAACATTCCTAAATTGCACACATTTATGGGCACTACATAGAGGAAGCGTATGGATATGAGGTGGACCAAGGCACGCAAATTAAAAATCAGTAAGTTACCAGCTCTAAATTTTCTATGACAGCACTGAAACCAATCAATTTCAACAATAATTCAAATTGCCAAGATTGCAAATTATTATTGAGCTTAAAATTGGTAGATTTTCATGCATTTGGAACCACCCCAACAAACAATTTTAGCTGCAATTCAGCGTATACAGCCAAAAACTACCTGCATAAGGCAAATTTTGGCTGTATAAGCTAGTCTGCAGCTACACTTGTTAGTTGGGACCCTTCAAGTGGAATTACATAATTTAAGAAAATTTTACTATAAAAAATGTATTCAGTATACCTAAGTTACCTTAACCTATCAATTTCAACAATTTAAGGCAATGTTTAAGGTTTTCCCCTACTTTTGTATGGAGGCTTACCACTGTGTAGTGGGCGCCTTGCCTAATACTACTGACAGGCGGAAATGGAACTATAGGTAAGGTTCCAGCGTGATTTGTCACGAGAGAATAATACACCTGTATGTATTTATGTCAGATGTTTAGCATACCATTGATGATCGAAATCATTTTGCAAACGCTATACCAGCCCAGGGTACCAAGAATACACATGTAGGAATTGTTACGTGCTATTGTATTTCCACTGCGTGTCACTTTGAGCTCTCTGGGCTCTCCTGTTATTGTGAATACGATGCTTGATTAATTAATCAATTGAAACGAAGAGTAATGTCGTCCAGTTCTGTTAGCCGAACAAGTCAGTTGATGCAAAGAATGGCACAGCGAGCTGTATAGCATATGAATTTGAAATATTTATAATGGGGTGGTTCTGCTAGAAATTAATCAGCCATTACATGGCTGTTTTATGCATTTCAGTTCACGTGATAGCTACCCGATACGATTTGTTGAAAATTTAACTGTTCCAATCGATGGAATCTGGTTTCTTATCGATGAAAATTAAAATTGACTGCTACCCTAACCGACTGGCTTCAGCGTGGAAGCGCCGCAATGCATCTTAATTGAGCTGTTAGAAATAATTGCATAATGAGTTACGATTAGTGAATCGAGTTTATCGCGGTTTCTTACACTATACTGACCACTGGTGAATTCTATACGCATACTGGACAGAGTGACCACAGAACGGGCTGCAGCGTGCGTGAGTTCGTGTTTTTAGCAGAGTGTTCGGTTTCAAAGTAAATGAGCATTTCCGTTAGCTACTTGATTACGACGGACAATGAGTTGGCGTTATCGAGTGTTGGCGCTTTGTGGATTAGCGGCAGTATCGCTTGCATGGAATTCCGGTTCATCGGAATACGAAGATGATGGCTTTACGCAGCCGAACGTTGCTAACGTGATAGGTGAGTTGACAGCATATACCCCATATAACATACCAAGTTTTTCAATTTTTGACAAGAAAGATAGAAGCAAATACCTACATCGATTCGAATCATCAATTTATGCACGGGGGTTGATCGCCGTGGCAGCACGACATATGTGTCATTTAAGATTAATAGTGGTTATCTCTATTCGGATTGTTTGCATCTTAATCGGGGGTTTATCACGCTGTTGCTGCTTTGGCGGCAAGTTAGGAACATTTTTATCGATTGGTAAATTTGCATTATCTTAATTTTTTATTGGAATTTGCTTTAACCTCTTTTCCATTCATCCATTTAGTGTTGAGCGCATCTTCTTTGCTTAGCTGATATATACATTTTTTTCCATTATATTTAGATAAATTATATGTTCATTAAATAGATATCTTTCCGATTTAATTGAATTGCTTAAAGTATTTAACAAACACTTTTATTTTTTTTTCGATTGTTTCGATTCCTGAGCTTGGCATATCAATATTTTGAATTGTAATTTTGAAACTTTACAATAGCAGGTTCGATTAGTATAATGGATCAAGTGATATTTTCTTTGTAATTCAAAACCCAAATCACCTCACTTTGGTTTTAAATCTTCCGTCTCTATAGGTAGCTAGGTCTTTAAGCATAAATAAATTTCATTACTGCGTCCAAATTTAATGTAACTGGAAAACTTATTGTATAGCAGGTAAAAAACGCACTGGAAGAAGCCCATTTACAATCAGCTTCATTTCGAGTGCAACGACGACATGTTGACAAATTTTCGCACTCGTCCGTTCCGGCTATTATAAATAAATGCAAAACCTACCTATGGTTATGCAAACCATCGTTATGTAGCCTAAACATTATACAGGGTGTGCGAGAATTATCAAAATGCACAAATAGCCATAAGAGTTTATTTTCAATATTTTCTTTGAAAATATTCCCAAGGCTTATGACTTCATAAATTTATATAAATTATCATCAATGGCCACAATATACTCTACAGATATGTCAGGATTTTCTCGATTAATTTTTGAATAGGTCTTACAAACTCATGCAGGCCTACGCTGTTCGGTCAATTTTGAACTACGGAACTGTTCGGAATTTTAAAAAAAATAATGATAAATTCCAAAATTAGTAAACTTATTCCGAACTTGTACATATTTTGTTCAGTTAACTCAATTTAACGATAAAAAATATAATTTGTCAATTTTATTGATATGTCACGTGAAACGGTCATTTGAAATTTTTACCGACCTGTTCAGCTGTTTAAAAACTCGGTAAAATTCTACCGACTTCGGTGATCTGAATTCAGTGCGTATGTGTATGTTGTTGATCAAAAACTTGAATCGCTTTCTACCATGACGAGTGCGGTATTTTCGCAATAATAATACTTACAATTTTTAGTTTAATGTTTGAACTTTGGATTGTATGCATCAATATTGCAAATCCACCATCGCGGTAGAAAGCAAATCAAGATGAACAAATGGAGATAGGACCTATTAAAAAAATAATTCAGAATTTCTCTCTGTAATCTCAATGCAATGCCAGGTGTCCACTGTTGTGGCGGAGGTGTAGCATCACGACATTGACGTGATGTCACACACACTGCCGCCAAAACAGTGGGCGCATTGTCTTAGGCGTCGACGTGGACACGATTTTTGGCACGCTAGCAGATGCCACACCGCCGCCATACTGATAAATGCACAGTGGGCGAAGCCGGTCGTAATTATTTTTCATGATTTATTATTTTAGTATTTTTCTTCTTCAGATTTGCTGATAGATTTTAGCCTCAAATGCAAAATTTCTTGATAATCCGACAAGAACTGAATGTTGTGCATTGCGGTGAAAATGAAATTTCGTTGAAAATCTGTAAGTTTTTGACATAGACATGACACATTGATCTTCCTAGAAGTTCAATAAATATGAATACTTAACTTCAATTACATAATTGTTTCTCATTATTTACGAAGAAAACTAGCACCTTATGTAGTAAAATTAATTTAAATTCGTTATAAGCTTTAAACAAAGTTTATATATTACTGAACCTTTAATTCAAACTGAAAACAATGTTTAGACATTTATAACTAAAATGCGCCCAATTGTGTCAATATGGGGTTTGTACTGCCTGAAAGGGTTTTTCATAGCCTTTATATAAAAAAAATGCTAAAATTGATAATTTTAGGAACCAGCAGGTGTCGATTCTGTCTTGATCTGGAGCATTAAAAATGTGCATGGATATTAAAATAGACCTTCACAGCTATCCAGAAAAGATACTGTTATTGTTTTAAACTTTACATGATATTTGGTATAAAAAAAACCTAATACCATTTTTTTAAATACCTTATTTTGAACGCAAAATGTGGATTCCGGAGACTCAAATTACATTAAAATTATGTTGATTTCGATTTTAAATAAGCAAATCATCGACCGGATTTTGTATGGAATCGCCCCCGTGACGAAGAAACGAGAACAACTAACCTGACTGTGCTTTGAAAACCACGGTTTTCATGAACCGATACGGTTCACCACGGTTCTTTGTGGCATGGTTCGTGTAAATAGTTCTAATTTGTTTGCCAAGTTAGTTCTTTAACATTTATCAGTGTTCATAAATTAAATATTGATTTCAGTGAACCGCAACTAAATTCATCGCGTGAAACCCTCGGTTCACTACCCAAGCCTGGTGCACAGGTCAAATGTGAGATCACGCGTCGCCACTGAAGTTATCAGTAAATATATTTTGGACAATATGATCCATTTGTGTATTTTCCATACATTGCAATGATGGTCCGATCAAGCACTGAAAAAGGTCAGCAACATTTATTTTATTCAATCGAGGGCGTGAATAGCACTTATTATAAAAGTAAAAGTTCCATTACTTTCATTAATTAAAAAACATTATGTATATTACATGAACATTTGTCTGTTGAGTCACTGTTGTCATCAAATAAAATAATATGATATTTAGAATACGCAGATAAACAAATTCACTATTAGCCTTTTTGGCCACAGAAGCGCTTTCATCGCTCAAAATCGGTTTGCCAGTTAAGCGAAAGAGTGGTTAATATTGTTAATACGATATATTTGTTACCAGTTACGTGTTCTGTTATCTTTAAAGATTATTAGCCCTGCCATAAAAAGTTCCTCTACCAAATGCTGCTGATAATTTGCTGAAGGAGTATTGATTCGCGAGAAATCGACGTTTTAAGTCATTGTTTACTTTTTGATACATCTTTCACATACATGATACATCAGGCTCTTTTCACATGGTGCTTGTATGTTGAATTAAGAGCATTGAATAATTTAATCATCTTTTTCCATGTTACTTCAATAAGGTATGATTCTTCGAAAACAATATAGATTTTTATATATGTACACAAAAAATGTCCACTAGTAGCATCAAAGCTTGTCACACGTACACTGCCGATCGAAAGTTTGGGGAACCCAAAAAAAAAGTTCATATATCTGCCATTTTACTCCCAATCTTCATTCTCTAAAGGTCATTTGATAGATAGGGTAAATGTTGGCTTCGACACCAATTTACCGTTTTAGAGAAACAAAAATTAATTGCACTTCGCTGAATATATTCAAACGATTCCTTAATCTTTCCGCAAAGTTGTTCCTTAAACAACATGTGCTGAAATTCTGAACTTAATCGATTTTACTGAGCCAGTTCTATGCACGAAGTGAAAGAATGCAATTTCTCCATATATTTCAACCAAAATCCCCATATAAATTTAAAGCAAACGCGGCAGCTCGTGTTACATCCGAATGAGCTGAAATTGTCAGAGAGTGGTTTTCTCAAATAATGGCACAACTCTGGAGGTTGGCCCGTAGAAAAAAATGATAAAAAAAAACTCCCATATAAATGTGGCCCAGTCTAGTGTATATACAATTAATCTATGCAAAAACCTTAAAACCATGTTCAGCAGCTCTTTCATGACAAATGTTGCATCGATCCAACTTGTTCAGATAATTTTAAGACACCCTGTTAATTCAAATTACCGAGAAATTCATTCTGGCTCAAGCCGAATGGATTCACATAGCAGTCAGCACTCCAGACGGCAGCCAACTCTGCTGTTGCTTGCGTAAATTTTGGGATGTACTCGTCTGGCAAGGTACGCCAATGACAGAATTAATTAAAATGTCAAAATAATCAAAGAACAGAATGTTCCATCACATCACGCTGATAACTGCGCATGCATAGCAGCTGTGCTGACGAAGCATGCATCTAGACATATGGCCTCGTAAACTAGCATCAGTGAAATCAGCTAAAAGTGATTTTTCAAACTCGAGCACCACGCGGCGGATGATGTACGCACCTTTTACAAATCATTAAATTTTCATCTCTACCGTAGAATATAATTGCCACTGTCACGGAATGCCTTCAGGGAGATGGGGCCATTCTTCGGGAGTGGAAAAGGCGTATATTATGGCTGGTTGAAAGGGCAGACGATCACACTTCTAGCTCGTTATGGATTGCAACAGCCTGAAACCAATTAGCAGAGATGCTGGGATTTTTTTTCCTTATGCCACAAATCCAATATAAAATGCCAATTTTTTCCATTAAAAGAGAATTTAAAATTGAATGCATGGTGATTTCATCGGGTTAAATTTTTGTTTAATGATTCTTTAATTCGAATTTGAAGGTAAAGATGAACGCTAAACGGGGTTTTTAAAGAAATTGGCCTTATTTTGCGATATTATTATATTTTGTCATCCAATTTTAAATAAATGGCATATATGTTGTGGATTCACCAAGTATAAATTTTAGCTCTTTGAAATTTTATTTTTAGTTTACTTTTTTTTGCTAAGGTGCAAAGGACGTAAAATATTTTTCCAAAAAATCAATTGCAGTTTTATTTTTGCTGAACACAGGAAATCTATCCATGAAAACAGGCTCTCAATTGCTCATTACAGCTAAAATGCTATTTTTCGTAATTATGAAACTATAAAATACTATAATAATAACTTCTATGTATAAAAAGCAAGAAGAGACGGTAAAGTTT